TGCTCCATCTGTTCAGGAAGTGAGATCTGAAGTAGAAGAAGAAGGTTCATTCACCATTAAGTGTCTTGAGGCCTTCGAGAGTGAATGGGATGGGGGTGCTCCAATCAATAATAATTTCCAAAAATACAATAATAAAATCGAAAATTATAATTTATCAAGGGGTCAGCAAGTGGCTAAAACAATTAGGGCTGTGGTTGAATCAATGCTGGAAGTCCATTTTGGAAGAGAAACCATGGATGAATTGTTTAAAAGATATGCAGAGATGGTTGGTGATTATTTTTCCAGAACTACAGCAAAATACGTTGACTTGGTAATTTCTTTGACCAAAAAGGGTTAATTGAAGTAATCACTTAGGAAATTATGCATAATGTTTACTTGTGTTACTGAATAATGTACTTGGATTATCCGTTAAAAGTGTTTCTTCGGTATCCTCATAGATCCTCGTATAATACGAAAAGTTACTAGTTTTAATTGAATGTTGATGTAATATTTATGACTATGATTAGTTTGCAACTTTCCCCAAAGAATGATTTTCTAATGTTTATTACGTTATTTAATTTGCAAGTTATAATGTGTTCTTCATTTTACAAATTTAGCTTTGAAAGGTTTCAGTGTAGCTATATTTTACGTTAATAATTATTTATTTATGTAACATCATCTTGTAGTGTAGCACGTCATAATATTAACATGTTTCGACTTGGTTGCATGCTAATAAAATTGAAATTTAATTTTTCAACAAGATTTGGAATTATAAGTTAATCTAATAGCACGAATACTTGTAAATTTAGACCTTGTTCGATCCCTTTTTTTAAAAAATACAATTTTCTCTCTCTTCCTTTTAACCACACATTATTCAATAAAATAATATTACACACAACCAAATAAATTTTCCTTCATTTTCAATTACACATTCTATATCAATCTACTATTCAAAAATGCATTCTACGCTAAAATGGGGCCTCCAACTGCCCTTATTGTATCCATATTAGATACGTATCTAAGTTTGAATACACGTGAATTGATATCAGGGCAACGTTTTGTCATTTGGTGGTAGTGACAGGCATCTTCATGACCATGTTTGAAGAATTGCAAAACAATCAGTCTAGGTCTACAATGGATAAGTTCAAAGATATTGCTGATAAAAAATCACAAACTTTGATTGCTATGTGTTGGTTGTGGCAACGAACACACAATGTGGCAACATGTGTCCAACCTAATTAAGTCGGAATTCTTGAAATGTGGTGGTAGAAATTTTTGGAGTACTTTCCTCCAAATTGATTAATTTTCTTTTTCTTTGTTTTTTTTCCATCCATACTCGTGGACATGTTTTATCAAGTGCAAAGATTGATTTAGGACAATCTTATTACAATACAGTATGAATTATTTATTGGGTAGGATTTTTTTTTTCTTGTTTAAATTAGGACATATTCTTTCTTTTTAATTCTTTAAGGTTTCATAATTCCACTAATTTTAGGATTTTAATTTCCCTTCCTATTATGATATTGTTTCCTTACACTATTAGGATTAGAAGTTTAGTTCTTCCTTTGCCTATATAAGAAGGGGTTGGGGTTGAAAATCCTTCATAAAAACCAATTCATTACAACTAAATTATCCGTAAAATTTCGGGTTTTCAACTTTTTTCTTATTTCAAAAATTTTAATTCTGCTTACGCACCAACTTGACAACAAGTTTTACATGTTTACAAGGTAGGCTTAGGACAGGTTGTCGACTTTGTTGAGTTCACTATTTCCTTCAGTCCTAAAATGGGACAAACTAATGGGGTTTCAAAATGCGCTGAACTTGGTTTGCCTTTGGTGGTTGGTCGAAATGAAGAGAGAACCTTTGCACACATAAGAATAAACCATAGAGTAAGGTTGATAAAGCTTGGAATAGTGGTTTGTTTTCAGCCGAGGGCAGAGAGGTCCTAGTAAAGCTGTTTTACAATCAGTGCCTACCTATTTGATGAGCATCTTTATAAAGCTTAATTCAATTTTACGAGACTTAAGGACGATCATGAGATCAAGAAATGGACTGTGAAAACTAGCATGTGTCGCTTAGAGCAAGGTGTATTGTCCAATATAGAGAGGAGGCCTCAGTATCAGGGATTTACAATTGTTCAACCAGGCTTTAGCTGCTAAAAAAGCATGGAGATTGCTCACTAATAAAAGAATCTTTGGCATCATTTATACTGAAAAGTAAGTACTTACGAGAAGAAACATTTCTTGATGCCAATGAAAAATCGGGATCCCCTTTCCTTTGGAGAAATATTTTGTGGATCGGGATATCATCTGGAGAAGGGATTTCGGTGCAGTGCGGAAACGATAAATACATGGATTCACAAAAATACTGCAAAATATTGGTTGATTTTTTGCAAGATTATAGAATATACGATTTGGTCAACAAATCAATGATTTGTGCTCAAATACTAATTTGGATTGAAAAATCGAGAAAATCTCAACAACTAATATTTTATTTCAATTAAAAAACAACTCATTTGCCGTTAAGGCTACGATCTTTATTTATAACAACTAAAATACCTAATTAAAAACCTAATAAATGACTAACTCTAACTAATGATTAATCCCAATTAACAACTAATATCTAGATAATAATAAAAAGTAAATGTCCTAATAGGAATTGAATTCCAAATTTATTTAATAAAGAAAATACTAACTAAAAATTAACTAAAAACTCAATTTTCATCGTACCTCTCCTATTGATGAAGATTCATTCTTAAATCTTACAATGTGTATTTCATTTATTTCCTCGTAATGATAGTAATTTACTTGGTAAAATTGTAGGGCACACAACAAGAAACTCTTTGAACGACGGTCGAACTATAGCAAGCATCTCAAGATTCATGAACTCTTTTGTATGGCACTTAAAACCAACTTTTTTCTTTAGACCAACTATTAGAGACATGGACATCAGGCTTTTCATAGAAAATAGGTAAAACATCGTAACTTTCATCATACAAATCTATACATTCTTCAATTTCTTCATCGAAGATAGGGGATCCAACGTAATTGTCGTTACCTAAATTCACTAATTCTTCAATTTCTTTGTCAAAGACTGGAGGACCTTCATAGCTGGAACCCAAGGATTCTTCAACTTATTTATCAAAAATTGGTGGACAATCATAGTCCTACACAAATGTATTTTATCCAACAATCTGAGCATTTAAATATAAATATTTATAAATTTTATAATTAATTATAATCTAATTTTTTGTATATTTTATTTTTTAGGTGAAACACAATGATTGAAATTGAAATTGGAATAAATGAGCGAAAACGAGCAGAAAATGAAGAAATCCAAAGTTTGAGGACCGAAGTGCAATATTCAATAGTTGATTCAAGTTACAAAATGATGATTTAAGATCAAATATGATCAATTAGATAAAACTAGACGTCAAAAAATATTGAAATGCAGTCAAAGTATTTGCACAAATCAATTTTCACCCGCACAAATTAAGCTCCATATTCTCAGACACAAAAGTTTGACCCATTTTTGGCTTAATAAAAGCTCAAATTGGAAAACTTACATTAGAATAATTGTAGTGATCTGAGTTAGCTTTTTAACACACTTTGAATCTTTTCAATCGGACATCGAAAGAGAAGGTAATGACAAAAACTGCTCAGAGTAATTTCCTCATGCACGTGAGCCCCCTTTTTCACTAGCTGAAATTGGTAAGCGACACGTCCACAAGCAGATGCAAGACATGCACGCATCGTAGAAAAAATAGGCTGACGGGCAGTTTTCCTGTTTTGATCAAAACACATTTTGGTAACAATTTTTTACAACACTTTAACCTAATTTTCGACCCTTACAAATACAGAACGTGTTAAAGACATAAAAGACACCTCTCATATCATATTTTTCATCTATTATTGCAATCAAAGAGAGGCCAGCTCATAAATCTTTTTAGACAAATAAGAGGCAATTACAAGATTTCTGTCAATTGAATATATAACATTGGTTTTGGGCAAAGAACATAGTGCGCAATTAGAGATCAATTAAGAAACCATTACAGGGATTCAAGATTCATCATCTTCTTCTCAATTCATCAATAATTTGGGCGATGTTCTACAAATTAAATATGATTTCTTGTAATTTTGTAACACCGTGCTAGATTTCCATTTACTAAGACATAGATGAACCCTAGTTATTGTGTTTAATGTTTCTCAATTATTTTATCACTAATTTGATTGATTTGTGAGTTTTATTGTTATCGAGAGAAACAATAACGTAGATTTCACTTATAACAACCATTGTGAGGTCTTATAGGGGATAGATATATACATCGATGTTTTGCATGATTTCAGTAGACGTTCTAGTATTTTTAATGCATATTTTCATGTTCACATCTTTCATAAAAGTATAAAAAGGTCCCATAAAAGGATAGATTTATTTCTACTCGAGAGAAATTATTAAATAACTTAGGCACATTCATCAACATGAATGCATACATATTGTCATGATATTGAGTTGTGTTAAAATGTATTTAGAAGAGGGATTCAAAGTCTTGGTAATCATCTTATCTAAATTTACAAAAGCTTTCATAATTTGATTTTTAAAGTAATTATTTTAACTTGTTAACTAGTATTAATTTTTTAAACACGTCTGGCTATTCAATTAAAGTTAACATTAATTGATCCTAGGTTAAATACATAGTTCTCGTGGGAACAATACTTTACTTATCACTTTATTACTTGTTCACACTTGCGGGATTTCGTACAATCAAGTTTGTCGTATTGTTGTTGGGGACTATTTTATTTAATTAGTATAGTTTATTTTAACCTTAAGCTGATTTTTTATCACCTTCTTAGTTTTTAAATTAATATTAGAAAAAATTATAGCGTTTTCTCTCTTTTTTATAGGATCTTGAATGCAAAATT